CATTTTTTTTTGAAAGATAACTTTGATTGCTTCATTAAGAACAGCAGAGACCAGGCAAAGGTGGCTTGAACTGGGCTCATGGCCAGGGAGGTGGTAAGTGGTTGGATTCTGGATGTGTTTTGCAGGAGTGTAAGGTATGAAAGAAGAGCACCCTGAGTTCTTTTTAACCTATACACATGAAAGGATGGAGTTGCCTCTTAATGTGGAAAAGAGAGCAGGTGAAAAATACTTAGAGGGAAGGAGTTCAGTTTGTGATGTTTTAACTTTGATAATGGAGATGTTAAGAGATTATTTGTATATACACCTTTAAATATCAGTTGAATTCTGGGCTGGGGGTATTAATTTAGGAGTTTGAAAAAGATAGCCTCTAAATTATTGAATTGCATCACCAGTGAAGAAAAAGCATATAGAGAAGAGATTTAAGGGTGGAGTCCTGGGACACTCCATACTTTAGGGATGAGAAGGAAGAGGAAACTAGCAAAGGAGACAGTGAGTGACCATTGAGTTAGGAGTAAAACTAAGGGCATGTGGTATCATAGGCGCCGTGGGTTTCTAGAAGGAGAGAGAAATGAAGAATGTCAAAGGCTTTGCTTGTAGGCCATGTGACATGAGAACTGACAAACGCTTGTTAGATTTCATCTAGGGATGACTATAAACCAGTGGGAATTATGCAGGAAAGATACAGGAACTGGTGCTGTGAGAGTGGGGAGACTTCTTGGAGCCTCCAGTGAGTGGGAGACCATGGGACCAAATGCCTAAGTGGAGGGGCTGGGCTCAGATAGGAGAAGCTCAGACAAATGACTGTGGCTGTGGTTCTCAAAACATGGTCCCCAGATCAACAGAATTGCCATTACCCGGGAACTTGTTAGAAACTTGTTAGAAAATTCCTGGGCCTCATTCCAAACCTATAGAATCAGAAACTTAAGGGTGGGGCCCAGCACTTTATTATACAAAGCCTTCTAGGTGATTTCAATGCACACTTAAGTTTGAGAACCACCAAAACTAGGAAGTTCTGTTTTATCTTTTAGGGTTTAATTCAGGGTCACCTCATTTACAAAGTGACATGTTTCCTTTCTTATAACAACTACTGTTTGGCAGGCTTAGAAATGGAACTGAGTTTCAGCTTATATTAAATGCATACCACATCAGGGGCACAGCAAGGTTTGGCAAAGCTTGAAGCTTGTATCATTTGAAGGGACAGGGCCTTGTTTAACAAGTAGAATACATAATTACACATATAAAATTTGGTAAAATAATGCATATTTATTTTGAATAAAAAAACGCATTTAGAAAAAAATCACAAGTTTTAACAGCTGAAAATACCTCAAACATCACCAACACACAAAAAAATATTTCTATTAACTGCCTAATATATCTGTATACTACTTTGTTTCTTATATTTGTGCTATATACTCTTTAATTGCATTTTATATCATGGTGTTTTTCTAATATTATTATATAGAGAAAAAAGATAATCTTTATTATTGTTATTTGAACTTGAGTTTGAGTTTGTTTTATTTAAAGATTAGAAAAAAATCATTTGGCCGGGCGCGGTGGCTCAAGCCTGTAATCCCAGCACTTTGGGAGGCCGAGGCGGGTGGATCACGAGGTCAGGAGATCGAGACCATCCTGGCTAACATGGTGAAACCCCGTCTCCACTAAAAATACAAAAAACTAGCCGGGCGTGGTGGCGGGCGCCTGTAGTCCCAGCTACTCGGAGGCTGAGGCAGGAGAATGGCGTGAACTTGGGAGGCGGAGCTTGCAGTGAGCCCAGATCGCGCCACTGCACTCCAGCCTGGGTGACACAGCGCGAGACTCCGTCTCAAAAAAAAAAAAAAAAGAAAAAGAAAAAAATCATTTTGGCTTCACAACCAGAATTTGGTGTTATCTAATATATTTTAAAGATTGAGGTCTTATTTGTCAAAACTTCTACCAAGTTTCTTTCACAAGTTAGCTTCAAGACTTCAGGGCAGTTCAGGGTTTCTCAAGTAGTAACTAATTTCAAATACTCTGAATTGAAGGCATTCATTTATCAGTTTGTCTTTGATAAATCTGTTTATTAGGCATATTATAATTTTTATGATAAATCAATCAATGCTGGCACTTCATATCAAAGCAGCAAATAATTTCCATATTTTAAAATACATTTATGTAATTCATACCACTACATTAACTGGACTAGCAAACATCCAAGGATCTACTCATTACTTCTGTTCAAAATCTGTCTTTCTCTTAAGGAGTTATTGCCCTTGAAATGATTTAAAAATTTTGTCTTAACATTTGCTTTTTTATATTAGAATAATTTCTATTGATTTTATTACATTTATAATTTTACTTCATATGCCATTAATTATTTTACCTGAATTGTCTCTCAGTTCAGAAGAAAGAAGGTATATTTCACATGTACGCTGATTGGGAGTCTGTAATTTCTCACTTATTTAATGGAAATATTACAAAATCCCTTTTAGTATTACAGTTAAAATATTGTATTCAAGCTTCACAAGCTTTTAAAATAAACATTACACACTGTTTTGTATTTGGCATTCTTTTTCAAGTCTTCTCAATATATTTCAGAGCCCCTAAAATGGCATTTTACCCATCATCTCAAATCTTAAACATCTTTATTAGGGTAGACCACATCTTTACACTTAAGAACGTAAGCATTAAAAAAACTAAAATTGGTATGTGTGTTTAGAAGTGGCTCAGTGTAAGAAGAACCTAAAGAAACCAGAACTGCTAAGATATCAAAGTGGTCAATATCTTCAAGTAGTATCGGGGTATTGTTTTCTCCAATGAGATTAAGGGGATGAACCCTGCATGCATGTTCTGCAATACATTTGCCCACGGTATTGGGTGAGCAACACTCCCAGGAGTATTCTTGAACCATTCCTATGCCAGGATGGCTGGTAGTGACTTAGATATGCAAAGAAGTGCTTGTGAACCTTACAAACCTAATCCACCATCTCCAGCTCAACATCTCATTAGACAGATCCCCCAAATTTCTGAAACCACTCCAGAGCCACTCAAAAGATGGAGAAAATGTATGAAGGATGCAGTTGTAAAAGAAAAACATAGCAGTCTTAAGCAATTGCTGCTAAAACATCATAAATTGTCAAGTTTTAAATTTGATGAAGGAAACACATTGCTAGGGCTCTTCTCGAGGTCCTGGAGGGTTCAATGTAAGACAGAGTTCATAAAGTTAAGTTTCATTAGCTTCCAGGTAATCCTGCCTCTGTACTTCTTGTTAGGTATACTTTTTTCTCTCTCTATTAATGTTCCTTTGAACAGTACCTTTTATGATAAATAATCTTTTTCTAACATCCTTTATGTATTAACCTGTGATTAGAGCCATGCCCTGAAGAACCCACATTCTATATTCTCTTAGAATGTTTAACAGATTATTTTTCACCATTGAAATACTGTTAGCAGAGCTGGAATTCTCCACATTCATCCTGCTTACTCTGTAGACTTGTAAACACAATCTTTAGGAGATTTTACCTTTTGACAGTAGAGAAAGGGTATTAGATAGACATGAATTAATCTAACACAATATCTTTTATGCCTGTGAAGGAGTTAAAATATGCTGTTCTGGCATATTGACTGTTGTAAGTTACAGACACTCGAAACATAGCAGGTGCAAAAAGATCACTTTGACCTTTGTGATGTTTCTTAGAAGCAGAAGACAGAATTCCCATGTGAAAGACACCCTCTCTATACCAGAAAGATGCAACGTCCTTATCCTCAAGGACGAGAAGTGAAAACCAAGAGAATTCTGTGCAGATCTTGTTAAAAATAACTCTTATGTTTTAAGCGTCCCCACATAATTTAGTTGCTTCTTCACGAAGCTATTATTCATCCAGTTGAGTGTACAAGTAACTGACCTTAACTGCTTCTTTGTGTCTTCATTTCCTTATGAGGGCTCCTGTGCCATGTAAGACTTGTACTATGCTTTCCTACTGTTACTCTGTTACAATGTCAATTTAATTCCAGGACCCTAAGAGGATGGAGCTGGTGATTTTCTACTCCTACACCTGGATAGGCAAGACTAACCACTTACCAGATGGGGAGTCTTCCAGTGCTAACAGTTCAGGCTGTGTATACAAGATACTGAGAGAAGGACCAGTACTGTTTTGTGGTTGCAGGTTGTTCCTGTGGTGAGAATAGGGCCAACCAAATTGGGAGTAGGCTGGCAGAGACTTACTTGTCTAGTCATGAGCATTAGGGAAAATGTCTCTAACACTTACCAGCCAAAGCTATGCTTATGGTGTGGATGAACATGTTGCAGTCAATGTCTTACTTTATGAATTTCTAATCTATATTGATGTTTATTGTTACTATGTTTTCCTGTTTATCTGAGAGGGGCCACACCCATAAGGAGTGTCCTAGAGGTGGAAACATGTACTACATGTTCTATTATAGCATTTATCACATTATAATATGAATAATATGCTTCCTCTCTGCACTTTAGCTTAAGCACGACCGCTCTGAGAACAAGTAATATGTCTCATTTGACTTTTGCATTCCACCCCCCCACTACTTCTTCACTCTGCCCTTTCCCAAGTCCTTCAACTTTGCCTTATAGACTTGATCCTCCCTGAAATTTGTGTGTAAGGAATGATCAATGAATAAATACATGATTGAATCAATACCTTACTTCCTCCAGAGATGTTTACTTATCATTAATCACATCATTCTATGTTTATTATTTTAATGTATAGATTATATTTGAAAACAGTAGCCTGATAATAAATATAAATTTATCAGTTTCTCTCAAAGTTTCAGAACCCCTTTGCCTCTTCTCATTTATAATTCCTTTAAATTAGGTAGGAAAGCAAAAAGGAAATCTCAGTGAGGCAAATACTAGCTTCTGCTTGCTATGTAAGGAGGTAATGATATTGACAGTATCGGCTGAGGATATTTTATACTTCAGTGGTTTTGTGAATGGGAACTGATCCATTTACTTTCTTATCTTGCTATTCATTTACTTTCTTAACCTATAGGTGCACAGGTGGATGACCTGGCAGGAGATACCATTTTGGCCATGGAACAGTCAAGTTGTTAAGAGGACCAAGACGTCAATGAACTAAAAGTTTCTGGGCCAGTTTATTAGGCAAAAATTAAAAATAAAAATAATATTTGAAAACCTAAAATAAATTTGATTTCAACTTGCATAATCTCTCTAACTCACTGAGGTTCCATGAAGACGGGCAGGTTTTTTTTGTTGTTGTTATGTTCCATGTTGTGGAGTTGTAGGTGAGGGCAAACACCCTTCATATGTGATGCAAGCACAAAGCAAGCTTTATCTAGAAAACTTAAAGGCAGATGATTGGCTGAATGATATGTGAAAACCTCATGCTCTCAGCCTTTTACCAAGAGGGATGCAGGAACTAGATCACAGCTGGATGTACCATGGAATAGGTTCTAGAGAGATCCCCAAACTTTGCTGTTCTATTTTTACAGAATGTGGGACAATGGGGGCATTTGTGGGTATGAAAGCAGCTTTGGGGGATGGTGTGGAGGGGGAAAGCGGGCTCAGGTTGGGTGCCAGGTACCCAGTGAAGGTGATACCAGTGCCCATATCCCCAAATCCTTTATTCTGGTGTGGTAGGGTCACTGGGCAATGCAGATGATGAGCAAGATGGTCGTAGGGCAGTACCAGCCACAAGATATGCACTCATAAATATTAATTGAATAAATACATAATTGAGGATTACAATTGTTAAAGTCCACTACAAAGTTTTCATAAGCATGAATTGACAATGGGATATTGAAAGGTCAAACATGAAACCCAAAATATGGGTGATTAGGAAGAAACAATGCTGGAGCAGCAAATGAAAGAACCAGGAACTGCAATGAGATAAAAAAACAACACGCAGGGGACAAATGGAGAAAAAAAAATCTGAGAATAAAAAAGGAAGTCAAAGTTTGGCCTGGAGCAGGAGAGAGCCTTATAAAGTTAGCTTCAAAGTACTGCTTGAATGAAAAAGAAATTACAGCAGACAACATACATGTTAATGAAGCTGAAACAATATCGAAAAAGAACCCATTATCATTACCTAGATTAAAAGAAAAGACAAGATTAACACCTCAGACATTACTAGGACAGAATAAGAATTAGGCTTATCCACAAGCTCTCACCTTCCTCCCACTTTTTTCATCTTTTCTAGGAAGCCCAAGAAAAAGAGGTTGAAGAAAATTAACTCTGAAAAACTTTGGCTGTAGTTATGCATTTTGGTAATTACAGTGAACTAAGAGCAATAGCTCAACATAAGGGATAAAACATGTAAAGTCTCAAGAAAGTACTCAAACACTTTTTAAAAACTCAGAAAGCAGAACTGTAAAAGGGTAAATGGTGAGGTGGAGGGAAAAAATTGGGAGGAAAAAGATGTAATAATTATTTATTCCTTTTCTAAAACAAAGAGGAAAGGGCCAAGTATTTATTATCCTTTTATTAAAATAAGAATGATTAAGCTTTACTCCTTTTCCTGCGTGGTTTTTTTTTTTTTTTTTTTTTTTTTTGGGCAAACCTCTCAAATATTTTGTAATAGCTCTAAAGAAAGGTTATGGTCATTGTCACATCTTCTTTTGTAAAACATTGTTCAAGCCTCTTGCACATTTTTCCACTGTATTTTTTGTCTGATCAATTTGTATACATTCTTCATATATTCTAGACCTAAACTTGTAAGTTATGGGTTATAAATACCTTTTCCCCATTTTGTGGTTTTGTTTCTCTCTCAGTATTAGTGTCTTTTTGTGAACAAAAGTTCTACTCTTACTATAGTCTGACTTAACAATCTTTTCCTTTATGGTTAGTATTATTTTGTGCATCCTATTTAAAAATTATTTTACAACAGTAAAGGAATAAAAATCCTTTTTTAGATTGCCTTCAAGAAACTTTATTAATTTCCTTTCACATTTAGACCTGTAATCTACTTGGATTTGATTTTTGCAGATAACTTGTGTAGGAATTGATGTTTAGCATTTTTTTTTGTCTGTTTCGCAATCATATTGTCCCAGTCACACTTTTTATCTTTCTCTCACTGCTCTGCCTGTACTTTTTTCATAAGTTAATAGTAAATATATGCATAGATTTTTAATCTGTTCTATTGATCCATCTGTTCTTGCACACATACCATATTGTCTTAATTACTATAGCTTTAAATTCACATCTAGTAGGGGAAGTTTTCCTGTTATGTTTTTCTTTTTCAATAGTGTTTAATCTCTATTCTTTCGATTTACATACATGTGAGAATCAACTTGTTAAATCTCACACACACACACACACACACACACACACACACACACAACATGCAGAGTCAAACTTCTTGAGATTTTTGAGACTGTATCAAATTTATAACCAATAGAATCTTCTAGTCAGTGAACATTTAAGTTTAATTTGATTTCTTTCAACAATATTTTGTGAAATTATGCCATGACAGTTTTACACATCTTTTAAATTTATTCCTAGATATTTTACTTCGTGGACTTTATTGTAAATGGTATTTTTAAAATGTCATTTGCTGACTACCTTCAGTTCAGCAACCTTATTAAGCTAACATTCTATTATCTGTAGATTTATTTGAATTTTGTATATTCAGTCATCCCACCTAGAAAAAAAAGAAAACAATTTTTATTCTATTACAGTTATTTTTTTCATGTCTTACCGCATGGCATTAAAAAAAGGTAATAAGAACATATCTTTGTCTTTTTTCTAATTTCAGAGGGAGAGTTTTCAAAATGCCAACCATGCTCCATTTTCCAATCTCAGAGGGAAAGTTTTCAGCAAATATCAAGTGTAACATTTGCTCTAAGCATTTGTAGATATTTCTATCAAGTTAAGAAAGATGTTTTCCTCTTAATTTGCAAGTGCTTTCCCATGAATGGGTTTTGTAGCTCCTCTATTTTGTTAATGGGGTGAAATATTGAATTTTAATGTTAAATGAAATTTCCTTCCTAGAATAAACTATTTGTCTAGTTTTGTTTTTCTCTTTACACATTATCATATTTGTTTGGTAGTATTTGTTCAGTATTGCTTCATTTATGTTCACGAGTTCATTGGACTACAGTTTTCCTTTATAATAATATTCTCATTAGATTTTTGATATCAAGTTTATATTGGCCTCATAAAACAAATTGGAAGCATTCTTAGTTTTTCTATTCACTGAAAGAGTTTGAGTACATTTGACATTATTCCTTCCTTAAACGTTTGGCAGAATCACAGGTGATTTCATTAGGTCTGGAATTTTTCCTATGATCAGTTTTACACTGTGGATTCAGTTTTGTTAATAGTTATAGGAGTGTTCGTTTTCTTTCTGTTTCTACCTGTATGCTTACATTTTGGATGTCTATGTTTCAAGCTATATTTTTAGAAACTGTCTGAGATCTTTGCTTTTTATTTGGAGTATCTAGTTCATTTATATTTAGTTTAAATATTTATTTTTTGCTTTCTGATTGTCCAACTCTTTCATATTTTTTCTTCTTTCACTTTTCTTGCTTGCCTATATTTGGAATGATTATACATTTTTATTACTCCATTCCTCCCTCCTCATTTAGGTTGGAAGTTATGTATTCTTGTACTATATTTTTACACCATTATAAAGTGCATCTTTTTCTTATTAAAATATATTGTTGTTTGATACTATCAACCTTTTCCCAGGCCACTAAAAAATTAAAAATACCTTAATTTATTATTTTTCTGACTTTAATGACACTGTCACTTAAAAAATTATATCTACATTAAACTGCCTAGGACATTATTATTGTTTATTTTACAGTTAATATCCATTTTATTTACTTTTTTTGTTGATTTTTAGGTTCTTTTTATTTTCATCTTCAGACTTCCTTCTGGGATCATTTTCTTTTTCTCTTAAGATATTCTACAGTGTGGTTCTTCTGGTGCCAAATTCTCTTAGGTTTATTTTACTTGAAAATATATTTATTTTACCTTTATTCTCAAAGAATATTTTTGCTCGGTATAAAATTTTAGGATGGCAAGGATATTTTTGCTGGATTTTAGAGAAACTATTACATGCCCTTTTGGCTTTAATTATTTCTATTGAAAAGACAGCAGTAAGTTTAAATATTGTTCTTTTGAAGATAATCTTTTTTACCCGTTTCACCTAATTTTAAGGTTTTTTCTTTCTGCTGTGATGGACTCAAAAGAGATTTTCTTTGTACATGTCTTGCTTAAGGTTCATAGTGCTTCTTGAATCAGTGACATGATGTCACTCATTAATTTTATATCAGCCACTAAGTCTTCAACTTGTCCTGCTCTATTTTCACATGGAAACCTGCTCTTACACCAGTGTTTCCCTCCTCAGTAAATAGAACCATTGATTGTCTAGGTGAAGTTATCTTTCACCCCCTCATTCATACACCATATCCAATCTACTGGAAATTTTAAGAATACATTTGGAAATAGATCACCTCTAACCACTTGTGTCTCTCCCACTGTGATGGATGATTTTAGGTATTGACTTGACTAGATTAAGAGATATCCAAATACCTGGTAAAAGATTATTTCTGGGTATGTCTGTGTGGGTGTTTCTGGAAGCAATTAGCATTTTAATCAGTGGACTGAGGAAAGGAGAGCTTCCCTCACCAATGTAGGTGGGTATCATGCAATTCTGAGGGCTTGCATAGAACAAAGAGGTTAAGAAAGTGCAAATTCACTCTCTTCGTGAGCTGGGACATCTATCTTTTCCTGACCTAAGACATTAGAATTCCAGTTTCTCTGGCTTTTGGACTCCAGGACTTACACCGTCAGCTCCCCGGTTCTCAGGCCCTCGAATTCATAATGAATTACAACACTCGTATTCTAATACTCCAGTCTGCAAGTGGTATTTTGTGGGACTTCTCAGTCTCCATAATCGCATGAGCCAATTCCCATAATTAATCCCCTCTTTATCTATCTATGTATCTACCTATCTAGCCTATTGGTTTTATTTCTCTGAAAACCCTAGCAAACCTACCTTTCATCAAGGTGCAATTGTTCGCACATGGACTACTGCAGTGGCCTTCCAACTAGTGTCTCCGTTTTTCTCCCTTCAACCCCCAATGGTCCAGTTGAGAGGTGACAACGTGCTAGCAGTCCTCGCTCGCTCTCAGTGCCTCCTCGGCCTCAGCGTCCACTCTGGCAGCGCTTGAGGAGCCCTTCAGCCCACTGCTGCACTGTGGAAGCCCCTCTCTGGGCAGGCCGAGGCTGGAACCGGCTCCCTCTGCTTGCCGGCAGGTGTGGAGGGAGAGGCGTGGGCGGGAATTGGGGCTGTGCGCGGCGCTGGCTGGCCAGCGCCAGTTCCGGGTGAGCAAGAACTCCTCCGGCCCTGCCCTCAGAGCGGCCGGAAGGCGCCGCCGCTGCCCCCGCCCCCAGCAGTGACGGGCTTAGCACCTGGGCCAGCAGCTGCGCAGGGTGTGCTGGGTCCTCCAGCACTGCCGGCCCGCCTGC